ATTTATTTCATGCAGGTAATCTTCAGGGGGACTCATTGGGCAAGACTTTGGTCCTTGCTTCTCAAAGAGGACGATGGAGATGCTGTCTAAGTTTATTGTAGAATTTTGGAGACGCGAGTAATATAGTTTTATGCTACTTATGGCTGGAATTTTAGAAGAAAAATTGAAGCTTACCTTGCTATGATTCTTAATATGGGTTATATCTTTATGTGATGTTACCCATGTATCGGGATGAGTCTTATGTAAACTTCGTACCTTGTGTTGTCCCCCATATAACGGGATGAGTCTCATGCACTCTTAGAAACTTGTTTGGCTATGTACACCTCATAGGTGTAGTTAGGGCTGTCAACAAGCCGAGCTCGAGCGAGCTCGTCAGCCTAGGCTCGAGCTCGATACAAGCTCGAGCCGAGCCTATAAAATGTTCGAGCTTTCCGACAGGCTCGGCTCGAGCTCAATCAAGCTCGAGCTCGACTACCGAGCTTGATTTTTAAGTAAAAAAATATATATTTCAAAGATAATCTTTAAAAAATACTTAATTTCTAGTTTATCATATTAATAGAAGAGGAAGAAAAATAAAATAAATATATTATGTCAATATAAGACATAGAAATAACATATTTGATCTCCTAATTTATTAAATAACAAAAAAATGACATATTACTAGGCTCGTTAGAAGCTCGAGCTCGGCTCGACAAAGCTCGCGAGCTTAGGGAGAGGCTTAGGCTTGGCTCTTCTGGAGCTCGAGCCGAGCTCGAATCGAGCCTAGGACGAGCCGAGCTCAAGCAGCTCGCGAGCATCGAGCTTTTTTGACAGCCCTAGGTGTAGTGGCCGGGTTTAATATAAATCCATTATTTTAAAAATAAGGATTGAATATACGTATGTGTATTCATCTACATTTATTTGGTGAATGTGTCTATGTATATTGTGTTTGAAAAAAAATAAAAATATTAGCTCACTAGGTAGTAAACAGGAACTTTTTAATATATTAATTAATGTTAGACAGTTTTAATATGCTTAACGACATCTTAGTACTCTCCCTCTCACAAATAATTAGTACTCCAACCTCGTTTTGAGTTTTTTTTTCATGTCATTTTTTTTAAAAGTTTAACTAAGTTTATAAAAAAACGCAACAACATATTTAACACATAACAAACATATTATCGTAATATATTCAATGTTATATCTAATAAAACTAATTCGATGCTGTAGATGTTACTAAATTTTTCTATAGATTTAGTAAACCCTAAAAAAGTTTAACTGAAAAAAAATTAAAATAACTTAAAATATAAAACAGAGGTAGTATCATTTCAAAACCCGTGCAGCTAACATACATATGTTCGCTTTGACCATATTTATTGTTTATATTCGTGTAATGAAAATAACATGGCCAAATTTGTTACTATAACAAAGCTTATAACACATACGTGACTAATTTTTTTTATTTATGCAAATGAATTATGTGGTTAAATTAAGTTATGTTTGATTGACTTAAAAAAAAGTCTAAAACAACACTTATTTATGATCGGAGAGAGTACGAACGAAATACATATCACTTATTTATACAGTATATTAAAATTTCGTACTTTCTTGTGCGGGTCATTAAAAAAAACTTATGCAGTATTATAAATAGTGGAGGGTACGCTGTTCAGGGTACGATCCTGGGAACAAATACTTAATCATCCAGAAAGGCCATTCACTTTAATGAGTGCATGACAATTCGAGGAACCGTTACGTTGGAGGATCAAGAACTTGTTCTTGTGTAGCAGTAGTATTATTAGTACCTTCTTTGCTGACTTCTGACGGCATTATATTCAGCTTCTGTAGCTTGTCAAGCTGTAACGACGATATGCAAAGCCTTTCTACGCGCTATCTGCTTTAGCTTTGCTTTCTTGGCCGGCCGGCAGAGATCAGTGTGAAAAGCGACCAAAATGGGAGAATCTAATCTAATTAATGGCCATTTTGTTGATTAATTGATTGTTTCCTCTCGTAATGATGCATGTTAGCTAATCAACGACAAAGAAAAACTACGTCTTTTGACTCGACGACGTAAAGTAGGGGTGTAAGTGTAACCACTACTACGATGTAGGAGTACGCATGCACCGGCAGCAGAAAAATGCAAAAGGGGAAAAGTTTGAGAGAGAGCAACACGCTGAAGAAACCCATCTGAATTACAGATACGCACATAAGCATACAGATCAGATCATGCAATAGCCTAGCCACCTTTAGATTAGATGTACGAAATAAAAACAAATTCTTTTTTTTCGTAAATTTCAGAAATATTTTGGTGTTCAGAATTTCAGAGCTTGTTTGGAAAATTCTGCAGTGGTTGAATATCTATGTTAGGTCAGATGAGAATTTGATAATAAACCAAGTTTGACTATGGCTGATGATAAGAGGCCATTAGCAATTTAGCAGTTTTCTTTTGAATCAAGAGGTAGCACCCCATTTCCATTAACGGAAATGAGGTACCTACGAGGGATATATACTTGCACGCATGCACCTAATGAATCAATCGAATTAAACTTAAACCTCCCAAACATTCCAAAAAGGAAGACAATTAATTATGATTAAACATACCATACACTGATACAGAAAAACACGCGATATATTAAAAGGCATTGGCATCCTACGCGTATACGCGTTATATTTTGGTGCTACAGATCATGAGATATATATACGTGTAGGGCCCCATGCGTGCAAGCAGATGAACGACCGGTCGACAGAAAGCGCAGAGGGTCGGCACGTATGGACGCAGCATGCTGGAATATCGACCGCACGACCGACGTTAATTAACCACCCGAGTCCAGCGTTGATCTCTATCTGACGACACAAAAAACATCGGCATAGTGCGTAGCAGCAGTATATGTAGGAATGTCGTGCATTTGGAGTCAATGATCTGCCTGTTCAACGACAGCAAAATGCCAGGGCATCTTCAGGGATCAAGATTTCTGGTAGCTTAGACTACTCGTGATTCTCGATTTTATAGTGTTTGTAGTACGTTCTGCTTGCATAAACCGTGTTAGGTTTGTGTCTACTTTAGGCTGCTTTCGTTTATATGGGTTCCCAACTCTCCTATTTTTCACGCGCACACTTTTCAAACAGTTAAATGATATGTTTTTTTGTAAAAAATATTCTATAGGAAAGTTGTTTTAAAAAATTATATTAATCAATTTTTCAAGTTAGTTTTAGATAATACTTAATTATGTTTTTTCAATTTTTCGTGTTGGAAGGGAAGGTTTCAAACCGTAGGGTAGAAAAGTATTGTGTACATGAAAAATACAAGAATGTGAAAAGAATTTAGATGGAGAACAGAGGATTAAAAATTAGGGGAATTTTAAATGGGAGCCTCTTTTGATGGGCATTGGAACCAAGGGAAGGATTCTAGTACGTAGGAAGTAAACAGTAATTCATTTTACGTATCTTGATCATTTTGCGCCTTTGCCCCACTGCTTCGCAAGCCAATAGCGTGAGTAGTGAGAGTCTCTGCTTCTTCGCCTCTGTTCTTCACTGATAATTGCTTAATGCTTAGCGCTTGATTTCCTCGATCTTACAAGGAAGAAATCGAAAAAGATCGGCTGCTTCCCCTGCTCTCATGCATCCTTCTAGGGTCATTTCTCTACCGCAACAGCAATCTAAAATGTTACTAATTTATTATATTATTAAAGGAATAGAAAAAAAAGTCTCCACGTTCGCTCTCATGGCCTAGAAATTCTCACATTAATCAGAGAAAAAGAAAAAACAGAGTCCATATAGAAATACAATTTAGAAATAGCTGAAATTCGGAATTAAAATATAAGGAATATTAGAAGAAGAGACTAGAGTCCATATAGAAATACAATTTCGAAATAGTTGATATTCGGAATTAAAAAATAAGGAATATTTGAAGAGGAGACTAGAGTCCATATAGAAATACAATTAGGAAATAACTGAAATTCGAAATTAAAAATAAGGAATATTAGAAGTAGAGTATAGAGTCGTAGAAATATAATTATAAAATAACTAAAATTCGTAATTAAAAATAAAGAATATTAGAAGTAGAGGATAGACTCTATATAGAAATACAATTAAGAAAACAAAATAGAAATTTAGAATTAAAAAATAAGGAATATTAGAAGTAGAGTATAGAGTCCATATAGGAATTTAAAACTAACTAAAATTTGGAATAAACATAATAAAATTAAAAGTAGAGTTTAGAGTCCGTATAAAAATACAATTTATAAATAACTAAAATTCGAAATTAAGAAAAACATGGGAAGAAGAGTTTAAAGTCAATATAGGAATACAATTTAGAAGTAACTAAAATTCAAAATTTAAAATTAAAGAATATTGAAAGATGAGTTTAGAGTCCACATACAAATACAATTAGAAATAATAAAAATTCAGAAATAAATATAAATAATATTGGAAGAAGAGCATAGAGTCTATATAAAAATACAGTTTACAAAAAATTCGGAATTAAAAAATTGAAATATTAAAAGACGAGTCTAGAGTCCATATAGGAATATATATAATTTACAAATAACTAAAATTTGATATTAAAAATAATTAATAACTAACACGTATATAAAATACAATATAATATTACACATTAGTATTTTGTAAAGTTATTACAAAATTTAAAATTATATTGTCATTTTAATATATTTGAATAATATAATGAGAAAACATATATGCTATTATTTGAGAGAAAATATAATGATGCTAGCCGCGCAATCTGCGCGGACCACCATGCTAGTTAATACTGATGTTATAAGCTAGTCAAAAAAATACTGATGATATAGGGTACCTAGCAAGCAATGGGGTAAGGTTATCGATCGATGAATGCATATCATAAATTTTCAATGAAAAGATAGAGCGAAAGGATCACGATGTAAACTCGTGAAGAGAATGATTCGTGTACATTGACACGTCTGAATTCTGAGAGGAACAGGCATGCCATCAGGTTTCGGCCAGCCAAGGACAGGTAATCAAGGCCATCTGTAGTTTTTAAATTCTGGACATTTTTAATAAAACTGAATAAATCCAACCTTATTTCATTACTCCAGTAAAGAAATTTACACAGCAGACTAGAAGAGCATTCGCGTTGATTCATTCATCCAGTAACGCCAGGAGCAACCTCAGAAACAAATACTAAACCAGCTTCATCCTACTCTACTGAATTTCTTAACACGGCCATTAACAAGTCTATCATGATCACCTAAAGTTCGAGTCCTAATCTAAGCATGGCCTCCGATGAGCTCAGTCCATCAGTCCATCCTCGTCCTCGTCCGGGAGAGGCATCGCCGCAGCAGCAGCTATCTCTGTCTCAATCCTGCGCCCACAAAGAATTTTGCCAGCATAAGACGAGGAAACCAACATCGCAGACAATTCAGAGAAGAATGATGGTGAGATAATCTTCGTGTAGGAGCACGCTTTGCAAAATGTTTAACTCACTTTTGCTGCGCGATGAGGTCGATGGTGACGTCGGCGGGGAGGAGGGCCAACTCCTCGACGAACCGAAGGTTCATGTCCCTGCATTTTGCAATCACACATCACCCATATTCACATTGTCAGACAGATTGTTCAGAATCAGTGTAGTGTTAAAATCAGGGTAAATGTGCAATGGTTGTGGTCTGCAACAATTAATCGGAGTGACAACAATTAACTATCAATTACCCTGTGAGCTTCCTGGCAAGGTAGAGGAAAGGCTTCTCGAAGTTGTAGTTGCTCTTGGCAGAGATCTCGTAATACTGGAGGTTCTTCTTCCTGTGGAAGGTCACCATCTTGGCCTTCACCTGCCTGTTCTTCATGTCCACCTTGTTGCCGCACAGCACGATCGGTATGTTGTCGCAGACCCTGATAGACAGATGCAAGTCTCGATCAGTTCAGGACACTGAAGAGAAGAACAATTTCAGGATGATTTGGGAGAAGAGAGAGCTTTCACCTGCAGATGTCCTTGTGCCAGGTGGGAACGTTCTTGTACGTGAGACGCGAGGTGACATCAAACATGATGATCGCGCAATGACCATGGATACTGATGAAAAAAGCAGGAGGGATAAGTAAATTCTGGTTCTACACTGTACACATGAGCAAAACAAAAATAATTCTCCGATCATAATAACATCATGGCACTAAATTTTTTGAGAAGTTTATTTATGCCGACAAATCTAGTTCCAGTAAGGATTTCTACTGCTTCTTACATAACATTGAAGACATTTCTGTCACTTCGAGAGAAGATTTGGGGATTAACAGTCAAGCTATCGAGGCTACTGAAAACATAATTGATCTAGATCCTGAGTACTGCATCATGTTCCTGGATTATCACATACTCCATTTGCTATAAGAGATGAATGTTTTGCAACTAATTAAAAAGATCTAATAGTAAATAGTCACCACATCAGATCAACATTCAGTAATCAAATTTCCGGGGATTCCTATGACCAATGTGATTTTTCATCATGGCTGTAAACTTGCAGATACAAAAGAACGGTTTCTGCTGCTTCTTGCATACTTCCTCCGTTTCACAATGTAAGTCATTATAGCATTTCCCACATTCATATTGATGTTAATGAATCTAGACATATATATCTACCTAGATTCATTAACATCAATATGAATGTGGAAAATACTAGAATGACTTACATTGTGAAACGGAGGGAGTAATATTTAAGTCATTTCAATCTGCCTAGGCTGCTCAAAACATTGCCGATATAAGATCCCGAATACTTGCATGCATATTCCTGAATTACCAGACAATTGCTAAGAGATGAATGCTTTGCAACTAAATTGAAAACATTCAACAGTCACCATCCTGATCCTATGGTCAATGTGGTTGTTCACAGGAATTCATCATGGTTTCAAATTCGCAGAGGCACAAAAGATATGATTGAAACGTCTGAATCTGACGCAATAAATTCTTACTAGTATCCATCACGGAGGCCGCCGAACTTCTCCTGGCCGGCGGTGTCCCAGCAGCAGAACCGCACCTTGCCGCGGCTCGTGTGGAAGTCCAGTGGCCGCACCTCCACCCCGATCGTCGCTGCAAACAAACAGATCAACAACAACAACAACGTTAACACCTTGCCGCACGATGCCACGATCGATCTCTCCTCCTCCTCCTTCCTCCCAATCCGACACAACAGAATCAAGCGGGATCGACGACGAGATCGCGCGGTGGTGGTGGGGAAGTGAGCCTTACGTTCGTAGCGCTTCTCGAACTCCCCGGTGATGTGCCTCTTCACGAACGTCGTCTTCCCTGCAGAGCAAAAACGGGTTGATTAATCAGGACGCCGGGATGCAACCGCCGATCGAGGCACCGGAGGAGAAGAAGATCGAAGAAGAGGAGGAGCGTGGGCGGCTCACCGGTGCCGCCATCGCCGACGAGGATGAGCTTGAAGGAGGGGTACCCCACGGCCGCGGGGTCAGGGAGAGCCTGCGCACGCGACATCACATCACAAGGAATCCATTACTAATCACCACAAGAACAACCTCACAACAAATCAATGCGGATCATCCGAAATCCCCCAATCACTCGCGATCGAGACGAATCAACGATCCCATTATCCAAACCCCAGCAGCAAGCAGACGAATCAATCGAAACAAACCCACCAAACAAAAAACATCCATCACAGTAGAGAGAGAGAGAGAACCGCACCATTCCGAACCGAGAAACCTTCGCGAGAAACCTCTTCCGATCGATCGATCGGCGGCGACGGCGGTGGTGGCGGCGGCGACGGCGGTGGCGGCGACGAGGCGGGTTGGGGCGGCGAGGCGAGACGACGGCGAGGGGTTTTATACGGGCGTGGGCGCGTGGCTTGCTTGGGTTGGACGCGACCAACCGCCACGGGGGGGTTTAGCTTGAGGTCTAAGCGGCTTCTCCGTAGCCGTCGGATGTGCGCGTGGGCACCGTATCCACCGTACACGTGTCCACCTGGTGGAGGCAACGGTAGCTTTTACCTTACGCGGCGGAGCCGTTTGGGGAAGAGAAGGTGGAGGTTAGCTTCGAATTGACGCCGAGAGATGTGGGTAAACGCGAGCGTCGCGCCACGTGGGCTGGCCGCTGACTACGCGGCCCCACATGGCAGAGGCCCACCAGGAGATCCACGTGAATAGATGGCTTTTGGGCCAGGATTAGTGGACGTGGGTTTTGGGCCACATGAATAAGGGCTCATTTTAGATGGGCGGTTCAAGCCCGGCCCATCCATATGGACCACATCTGGACCGGGATTGGTATCATCACATGTTAAGGTGAACTTTCTTTAAAAAAGAAAAGAAAGGTTTGTGTCAAACGACACGAGAGATTAGCTGATTAGGGAGAGCGATATTTTATATGGTGGAATATAAATAAAGCTCGTTTAGTTGCTCGGTTCAATATTGGTCTGTTTGCAAGAGCTTATGGCAGCTCAGCTTTTCATCTAAAATTCTAAGAAGTTATAGTCATAATAAGATCGAGACCAACTTGAGCTTATGGCAGCTCAGCTTTTCATCTAAAATTCTAAGAAGTTATAGTCATAAGATCGAGACCAACTTCTCAAAATTTTAAGCTTCCCAAATATGGCCCTGTTTTTCTTTCAAAATAAAAACTATTTAATTTGTCCCCCGGATCTAAAAAAGAAAAAAGGGCGTGGAAACAGATAGAAACTCTTGAATGAAAATTGAAAAGAAATGTAGCCCCATTTCCGCTTCGGAAATGGTAAGATCTTTGGCGCAAGAAGAAGGGGCGACCCATATTAGCTTGTTAACGAAAACATTCTCCATTGTGATATTGGCAGTTTGATCCAATATGGGCGTAAGTTGGCAACTTATCCTGATCTACAAAATCTGGGCTAAATTGTGCACACACGAGCAGAGGGTGGAACCAATCCAGTGAACAATATGAACTTACATCACACCAGCGAGAGATTGATCTAAACCTTTTCATTTCACATCTTGATAATCCAATGAAGGAATTCTATAACTTTAAAAGAAGCTACTGTAAGATGTTGAACGTTTCCCTTCTCGACATGTTTTAAGGAATTTACAGCGATCAATGCATCGCTGGCGCTGTTTAGCTTCAGCTGTTTAGGCATATGACAGGGATGTCGAGATGAGAGCTTCCTTCACTTCCAGAGCTTGCGCAGGGACATGTTCTTTTCGGTATCCTTCTTCATCACCTTCGCCACCGCCATCAAGAAATCCTCCTGGTTGACATGAACCCTTCTCTCGCGAAGGGCAAACATTCCTGCTTCCGTGCAGACCGCCTGAAACCCAGAAAGGTGAAAATCAAGGTGAGTAACTTATGTACAGTGATATAGCTGATAGCATCAATATGGAGCACAACAGATGCAAAATGGAGTGCATTGTCATGCAGCACTAAAACAATGAGCAGACTTTTTCATGGTATTTAGCAGTTCTCATATAAATGTTGGTTGTACCAACTATATGGATCAAAATTATAACTGGGCCTGGATTTGTTTCAGTTCATGATATTTGTATCAGCTTGAAATGAGAAGTATTTTAGAAAATTGGCTCATAAGTGTCAACTATACACACCTTAAGCTCTGCTCCAGATGCCCCATTCATCTTCTCTGCAATCTTTTTCAGATCAATGCCACGCATCAAGTTCATTTTTCTTGAATGAATCTTCAAGATATCAAAGCGGGACTGCAGGAGAAAAAGATGCGATTAAGTAACTAAAGAACTGATGACGAGATGAAGTAGCATGAACTCTGCTGCTTGCAGAAAAAAAAAAGAAGTGATTGCCACTTACATCTTCATTCGGATTTGGAAATTCAATCTTCCTATCAATGCGACCAGGCCTCAGGAGAGCTTGATCCAAAATATCCATCCTATTTGTCGCCATAAGAACCTTAATTTTGTTTGATGCTTCAAAGCCATCAAGTTGATTCAGAAGCTCAAGCATAGTGCGTTGAACCTCACTATCACCACCCCCAGATCCTGACTGCATTCTAGCAGATCCAATGGAGTCTATTTCATCCATAAAGATTATGGATGGTGCATGCTCTCTGTCAAAATTCAAACCAAAGACGTCAGCCTACTGAATAGTGTAAAGCAATGCAAGCATCCTTCCCAATGAAGGATTTTCAGATCCCATTGAATATATGGTAAATTTCAATGTATCATCAACAGAAAATGTTTACCTGGCCATCACAAATAGTTCACGAACCATTCTGGAACCCTCTCCAATATACTTCTGAACCAACTCGGAACCTGACACCCTAATAAAGGTACAGTCGGTGTGATGAGCAACTGCCCGAGCTAGTAGCGTTTTTCCTGTACCCGGAGGCCCGTAAAGAAGGACACCCTGCAAAAATCAAAGGTGAATATTTTCCACTAATAATGACAGTTGATACCAAACAAAATGCAAACTGATAAACAAGTTCTAACCTTTGGCTGGGCAATTCCAAGACTTTCAAACAGCTCAGGATGCTTAATGGGAAGCTCAATAACCTCTTTGATCTCCTTAATCTGCTGATCAAGGCCGCCAATCATATCATAAGTAGAATCAGGAACCTTCTCAACCTTCATAAGATTAACCAATGGATCAACTTTGCTGGGCAGGATAAGATGAAGCATATAGCTGTCATTTCGAAGAGCAACTCTTGTTGAAGGCGAGAGCTTTGTAATATCAATACTTTTATCGACATCAACAACATATTTTCCTTCTGGGTGCACCTGAAAGATTGCAATTGATCAATTAACACAGAAAGATTTACCAAATGTTTGATAGAATTACTAAAAATTTCTGCTCTCATAATACCCACACGATATCGTTGTGTTAGTGCAATAATTGCGTACATTTTAAAGCTATTATCACTATAGTATGTCATATGAAGTGACCATATAGCACTTCTTCAAGATCTCTATTTAATTGACTGAGTATAAATAATTGCATCTGCACACTATAGAGTAAAAATATTTCTGCTATTTACTATTCGCAATCATACTTTTGTAAAGCTCCCTTTCGGGTGCTACCAAAACAAATCGCAGCTTCTATCCAAATTTAAAATATATGCAGCCATGATCTGACTAAAAGAAAGGTCTCACCAACAAAATATTATCTTCCCCGATTATCTCCAAAGCAACACTCATGTGCACAAATACTAAAACACAGCACTAAGAAAAGGCAAGAAAGCAAAGGATATGTACCTTCACTAGAACCTTGGACTTGCCCATAACCTTGACAACCTCACCAACATATGAGCCCGGTTCATGGAGCACCTTCAACTCTTCCCCCAGCGTTATAACTGCAACATCAAAATCGCAAGGAGGGAAAATAAAATAAAAATATTAGCACATTATACCGCAAAGCACGAATCCCAATACAAAGAAAGTCTAGAATCCTACTATCACTACTTCATTCAACGGCAGAAACGGGGACGACGAACATAGAAACCACATAAAAGATAGAAGTCTTGATACAAAATCAAGAACCTCTGAGGGGGGGATTCACACGAGACGGGAAACTAGGGTTGCGAGTAAACGCGGCAAGATTAAAACCAAACCACGAGACGGATTCGACTGCCCCGCGCGCGGGGGGAGGGGGTCGTCGTTTACCTTGGGAATTGAGGACGTTCCGCTGGGCCTCGAGGCGGCTGAGGTTGTCCGTCCCTTGGCGGATCTGGAGCTGCAGGTCGTGGATGCGCGACTGGTAGTACGGCCGCAGCCCGTCGCCGCGGAAGGCGCTCCCCTTCGCCCCGTGGCCGTCTGCCCCCGCAGCCGCCGCCGTCGGCGCGGAGGAGGAGGGCCGCGAGACGTCCGCCGTCGCCATTGCTTCGAGTTCGAGGGTTTCGTTTCGTCTCGTCTCTTTCGTCGGGACGCTGATCGAGCTCGCGTTTTGAGAGGGCCGCTCTCGACCTGTGTTTCGTTCGTGTTGGGCTTCGTGGGCTTTTCTCAGGGTCGGTATTTATTGATGGGCTGTCACGCCGACTTGGATGCGCAGAGGATTGGAACCCCGATCTCCGTGCGGTTCGTTTTCGTTTGGGAGAAGTCTATTTGGGCTCCGAATCTGATTCGTGTTGCCCAAATAGAAAACCGGATATAACAATTCCTTCAATTATTAAAACGATATGAAATGATTTCTAAGGTAGTATTAAGGGTGATATTGAATGAATGATGTGGCGTCTATATGACACCCAATCACTAGATAAAACTAAAAAGTACTCCCTCATTCCTAAAATGTTTGATGCCGTTGACTTTTTTAAACATGTTTGACCGTTCGTCTTATTCAAAAACTTTTGTGAAATGTGTACATAAAAGTATATTTAACAATAAATCAAATGATAGAAGAAGAATTAATAATTACTTAAATTTTTTGAATAAGACGAATGGTCAAACATTTTTTAAAAAGTCAACGGCGTCAAATATTTTGAGATGGAGGGAGTAGATGTGAGACCCATATATTAGCACTCTTTATTCTTCTATCCCCTCTTTTTTTTCTTTTTTTTTTCTAAATAAACTACGTCGGCAGGGTCACAAGGGATATATCATAAGAGCAGTGGGGCTTGAGCCTTTTATCGTACATACATGCACGGAGGGCTATATAGTTTTATATAGTTTTGTTTAGTTTGTTTAAACCCCTGTTATTATTTTTTTCTGTATCCAACACTGCACGTCGTTATTGTGGCGCACACTCACCATCATATAGAAAGATCAGACGTTGTCGCCATGGTACTCAGTATAGAAATGGTACTCAGCCGACAAGGTGCGTGTCACCCATCAGGATAGACGAACGGGTATACTTCTACAAATATTTCTGAAGATGGGTTACTCCTGCAAAATCTCTATACAAAGAATGAATAATTTGAAAAAAAAAGTTGTTGGCTCTCTTCAGAAATACTACTAAAAAAGATCATAAAAGAAGTCCCATGTGGCTACATCAGCAAGCCATGTCTAAGCTGACGCATTAGCCACGTGGAGCAGTATGTCACATCATTTGATAAACTAATAGATAAATATACATTAGTGTACACAATAAAATTAGCATGGGTTAGCAAATATATTTATCTTAGCTAATTTTCTTTTCTTATTAGTGCGATTAATTTAAAAATAATTATGATAAGATATTATTGTTAAAATATATGTTTATGGCCAAGCTTGAGCTCAAACTGAGCTTGCTTAAAAAAAAGTGGAATAGCAATGGCTCGAACACGGCTCGAGCTTGAGTGGAGCTTGATGGTCAATTACGAGCTTGCTGGATCTCGGCCTACTTCTACCCTATATTTTTTTTCTTCTACCCTATAATTTACCAATTCATCTTACTCATCCTTCACTCTTATCTACCCTATCTACCTTATAATTCACCAACTCATATACTCATCTTTCACTCTTATCTACCATATAATTCACCAACTCATCTTACTCATCTTTCACTCTTGTACAATCTTGCATTCATCAACGTGGTCAATTTTTTCTAGGACGAGCCTACCGCTCGGGCGCCCGATCGATTTGGAGTAAAATCGGCGTCCGATTTACGTGCAAAACTACTTTAAATTGAATTTTCTCTTAAATTACTTATCCAAATCATGATCCGATTGCACCATTAAATTCGTTGCAATTAAATCTTCAAAACAAGACCACACATGGATATATTCCGACGAAAAAAAATTAGCTTATTATTAAATTATTTTTAAATGTTGCACGATGTTTCACCAGGTATATCGGAATTGTTTCACTAAGTAGATCGAAAATGTTTCACTCGTTTAAATCAGTTATTGTTTTACCTTATATAAAAACAATGTTTCAGCAAATAGCGAAAGAATGTTTCAGTTCACTGCAACATTTGATCTATATATAGTGAAAAATTATAAGTACACTAGGTGAAACATTTTTCGGTGAAACAAAAAATAAAATGAATTCCCTTAATAGGGAGTATCTAAAATATGTGGTTTTTTTTGTTGCAATGGAATATTTCGGTTCACTGCAACATTAGATCTATACATAGTGAAACATTGTGAGTACATTAGGTGAAACATTTTTTGTGGAACAAAAAATAAACCAAATTCCCTTAATAGAGGGTTTTCAAAATATGTGGGTTTTTTTGTTACAATGATAGTGGAAGCAGAAAACGCGGTGGAACCTAGAGCCTGCATGCACGCACTTAGGGGGAGGGCGCGCTGGGGGAGCCGCCCGATCCAGTTCCCCCGCGCCGGTTGCCCGGATATAATCATTCTCATTTTTTCTATGTTGGATCAATTAAGCGAATGAAATCTACTTGTTGGTACTGTTTGTACCCTTTTTATTTGGTAGTATGATATTAATTGATAAGCTATTTAATATCATTTTCATTTTAGTCTTGGTAGCACGGTTGACAAAAATAATTATCGGTCGGTCAGTACTTGGTTCTGTGGTGATGAGTCGTGAGTCAAATAGCATCTAAAAAAGGATTCTGCCTAATAATTTTCGGAATGATGTCCTGCTCTAATATTTACCCCCATTTTTTTTATCCCAGGTTTGACCTCTGTATTTGAGTGCTGTCTATAATTCATTAAGCTACTTTTGCTTACCCTTGTCTGTCTCTTTTGATTGCTGAAAGTTGATGTCCTTTTTAAGGCCAAGAAAGAGTTCATTCTATCTTTGCTGATGTTGGCACTGAATGATGCCATTATATATGACAAGGTATGGTCTCTAAGTGGCTTCCTTAATTTACAACTGAACCCTGTCCATATCTCTCCATAAATGGTCTAATGTAATTAATTTAACTGAGTCAGTCAGTCTAATGGGATAGAAGCACTACAATACTGTGTAATGCGTGGAGACTATGAATCTTTTAAGTTTGATTTTTTTATGTTTTCTATGGAGGGCATACTACCATCTATGTAATGTGCGAAGACCTATGAATCTTAACATGTATTTCCGTAACCATCTGTTTAGCTTGCTGCTTGAAAATTGTTTTTTTCTTCAGATAGAAAGATTGCAAATTTATTTCTTGCTGACATATGCTATCCTCTGTTTTGATGCATATGTTTCAATTTCAAGTTCTGCCTCTAAAATTAAACTGAACTTTTACTATTTAATGACTATGGAGTCCTGATAGCTGTCAAAAAGTTAAGGTGTTATAAAAAATGCTACCTGAACTATAGGGTGAGATCAGAATGTTTAGGTCATACTGCTTCATTAAAATTTCAAAGATGTAAAGAACTACTGATAATGCATTAGGGGATTTGGCTAGGATTTGGAGAAGCTGGTTCTTGTGAGGATTTGGTTTTTCCTTTGAATCTGGTGAAATGTGATAAGAGATTTGGCTAGGATTTGGATTTCTATTTGAATTTGTTGACATGTTATGGAGATTTTGCTAGGATTTACACTGATATTCTCATTTTGAAATGCCTCTACTCAAATCCTCCCCCCCACCCCCGCTCACTAAAACCATGCAATTTTGGACATACGCTTCCTCGTCGATATTAAGTAGTGCATATCAATTGTTCCTATATTTAAATAATAGGATGTAATTTCACTTTGAATTAAAATATACGTAATTTCCTAAATATTATTTATGATATTTTGTTACTTTGCTTAGAAGGCTTAATTATTTTTTTGTGCATCAGGACATGAATATTGTATGCGGGAGTTCATAACCTCTCAAAACTAGAAAAGAAACCCGCGCACGTGCGCGGGCACCTTATTTGTTGTTTATAGAAATAATGTTAATATAATTAAGTCATATATCACTATATGCATATAAGAAATTATAGATATGTCTTATATAATACATTAAGCTCACTATATTAAGAATATTTATATATTTAGAAAGAAGAGTTGATTATAAATATTTAGGTATGTATGTAGTGGAGATTAATGTTTTATGTATGAATTATTAAAATGGCATCTGCAACAATGATAATTAGTAATGGTGACAATAGGCGAGTTTACGTGTAATCTAAACAAAAGTTATTTTTGTTTGAATAGAAGAAACATTTTATCGTTTATTAAAGTCTACGGTCTATTTCACGACATATATCTTTTTAATTATAAGGCGAAATCTATAATTTATTTTATGCATATAGTGAGATATGACTTAATTCTATTAACATTATTTCAATAAACAATAAATAAGGTGCATGCACATCTACACGGCCTTCCTTTCTAGTTTGTTTTCGTCACCTATTGTTCATAATGGGTCCATCAATTTAAATAAAAATCGATGGTGAGATTACGTAGTGCCACGTAGCAGTCTAAGAGTGCTTGTAGAAGTGCAACGTGACCATATTTGTGAAGCAATAAATAAATTTTATTTTATAGTATAGAAAATTCTATTTTAAAAATATCGTCTATTTTTCCACGATGGTTCTCACATGTACATATATATTTTTGTTTAAGGTTTTATATCTTTTTATACCGTACGCACGTACCTTTTTTTCAAATGAACAATAGGTAAAGGTTTTTTTTTCCCATCGTACGTTTTTCCGGTAAACAGTACGTACGTCTTTGCTTTTTTTTTTTTCAAATGAACACGTAAAGGTATACTTTTTTTCCCATCATACATTCATACGTTTTTCGTATTCTCCTTTTTTAGGTAAGTAATCGGATTCTGTGTACACACAGAAAGCATAAACTTATTTTAAATAAACGATACACTAATTTAAATGAAAATTGACGGTGAAATTATAGAATACCACGTGGCAACCTAGGAGTGCTGGTAGGAGCGTCACATGACGGCTTAGGAGCAGAAAATTAATGAACTTTTAGTATATAATAGATAGATAGACTAGAAAAATACCCGTGCATTGCAACGGGTAAATGCTAAATGCTATTTTAATTTTATTATTGTTATACGGTTTGTCTAGGGTAAAATTCACTCTGAGAATTCGCTCGGTTATTTTTTCAGAAAA